CCCTTCATTTTTCCTATCCCCCCTCCCCTCTACCTCTTATGATGTTTCTCTCCTTGTACTCCAGGCTGGAGTTTTGTATTGGGCCGTAGAGGTGGAGTGTTCTGCACGTGCTGCATTCCTAGGTGTGGGTGTATTTTTTTATTGGTTCTGCTCTCACTGCCGCTCATTGTCTGAAGGAAACCATCTTGTCTCCCACAGCAACCGAAAAGATTCTTAATTCCATATCTCTATTGTAGTATGGAATAAAGAAAGGGGAGTCTGATTGCTGTGGCTAAGATGAACACTTATCCCTTCAACACTTTCAGTCCTAAGGCCGCCGTCCTGTTATTAGAAAAGAAAAACAACCCACAATAAATATACTGTATATTCTGTCATTTTGGCAGCACACCCTTCTGTACATTGATCTATCATGTGACCATATGACATCCTGACAGATTTGTCCAAGGTCTCTTGTATAGCTCAGAGGTGTCAATAAGCTGTGTAATGAGGACAGATAATAATGAATGGAATCTGGTGAACATTTGGGTAATTAACAAGGTTTTGATTCATGACCCTTCATCAGGCTTGTTGGCTGAGTGATACCTGAGCGATTCTGAAAGGACCAGCTTAGTGGAGAACACTGTGATCTTGCAGGACTTCTTTTCTGGGTTCAAATTCCACCAGGTCTCTTTCCTTCCTTCCCCCCAACCTTTCTTTTTTCTCTCTCTTTCTGTTTGTTTCTTTCTTTTTCTTTCTCTTTTTTTTTCTTTCTTCCCTCCCTTCCCTTTTCATCATCCCTTCCTCCCTCCACCTTCCCTTCCTTTCATCCTTCTTCCCTTTTCTTCCTCACTCCCTTCTCCCTGCCCTCCCTTCCTTCATTCCTCCCTGTTCTCCTTTCCCTCCTCCCTTCCTTCTTTCTTTCCTCTCAGTCAAGGGCTGCGTTCGCTCTGATCTCTTATCTGAAATTGTCCGTGTTCAGAAGAAGTGGTTGATCCTGGAAGGCGGCACTCACTTAACAACCCACCTGTCTCAGGCAATAGTTAATAGGGATCACAAAATAATTCTGGATTTGTTAAATTTAACCTTTTTCAATGTAATTATAACCAATTTGGCTCGTCACTCAGGAGTCAAAGAACAGCTGGTTGCACTCTGATGTACAAGAATCTGCTAACCGGTGCAGTTTCAGATCTGTATATGAAAAATATGATCAATTTACATCACAATTTATGAAAAAATTGTCTTTACAATAATGATGCGAAATGAGATCTTACAGATGTAAACAGGTATTGTTATATAGAGGTATTCTTGGCTATTCGTACATTTCCCTTCATGCACAGCTGCCAATTCCCCCATACCTACAAGTCCATATAGACCAGAGCAATTCTGGTGACATATATCATTACACCTATGGCATGCAGAGAGACTAATCTGCTTCTTCTTCTTCTTCAATCCCAAAGACAATGCCGAATCTCGCTGTCTGCATTTGCCTTTTACAATTCAATTTATCAGTATATTCATTATGGACACTGTCGACTTGAGGAGACTGTAATAAGGTTAACGCAAGGCGACATTCTTGTGATGGAATCCAATACTCCGGCTCCCTCTGCTCAGATAAACCTAATCTGACTTCTAATCAAAACTGTCTTGTACCCTCTGTGTTTCAGGGGATGTACAATCTCATTCTTCGGAGTGGTGGTGCCAAGTTTTAAGAGACAAAGTTTTTGTGCGTTTAAAAGAGGCAGGTTCTCGGGAAAGACGAGATGCTTGGCCTGTGTATGGGTCACCAATGACTTGTGAAGGCACCAAGCAGACAGCAGAATCTTCATGGGTAATGAACAAGTGAAAAAACTGCTCTGGTTGAAATGCTTTCCTCCACCCCGGTGCTATCTCCTGCCGTTTCTGCAGTTGGGTCTCTCTTCCAGATTGAATGATGTCCAGCATCATTCAAACCAGTTTCTGTGAGCCCATGCTGTGAAGGACATGCCCCCCTGGGGGTGCATCATAAAGTTGACCTAGGCTGGGGTCATTACGTGGGCAACATTTTCTATAGCTTTCAGAAGCACCCAATGTGCGGACAAGAACTGAAGATGAAGAGGATGTCATGTGACTGGACCAAAGCAACCAACCTGCAGTTGGACTCCATATTAATGGGTAAGCCAGGCAGAAACTGAAATGTCATTGTCTGGTAGATAGTCCTGATATTGTGTTGGCTTTGCCCATTATGAGGGGTTTCCACCATCCCTCCACTGGGTTCCAGGGTCTGTACACCTGTGTGCCCATTATGAGGGGTTCCCACCATCCCTGTGCTGGGTTCCCAGGTCTCCACATCTGTGGGGTTCCCACTATCCCTGCACTGAGTTCCCGGGTCTGTACCCTTGTTGTTCCCATTATAGGGGGCTCCCACCATCCCTGTGCTGAGTTCCCGAGTCTGTATACCTAATGTGCCCATTATGAGAAGCAGCTAATAATACATCAGAATACATTTTCATTTTTCTCCAATCCCATCCTGATGAAATAACCCCCCCCCCCCAAAAAAAAAAAAACTCTTGGCAAGCCGCTGTGCTGTCCATTCACTCCTGACTAATAAACTGCTTTGTAGCCTGTATGTGTAACACTTCCTCGAGCACTGGCTGTCATGTCTGTTACCAAGCTGGCAGAATGTGTGTCCTGCATGATAAAGAAGACAGTCTGTTATCCACACTGCTGGGGGGGTGACAATAATCTTTCATAGAGGGACAAATGCAATTACTGTGTCCATTTAGCAGGGTGCTAATGTGATCAGACTTGGTGCACTTTCATTATACATACCATGAATCTGCATTTGGTGCAGTGAGGAGACACTGGGCACTCTGGCATTTGCATCCCCTGGCATTTGATGGGAAGAGTTCCCCTACACCTCTTTATAGCTGAATGCCCAGGGTGGGCAGGTCTTATAAGCACACAGCCCCTTCCTTGCTTAGAGCAGACACAGCTCACATTGCCAGGGAGAGGAGATCAGAGTCAGTACAGCCACTGCTGGCTGTGCAGGGGACACATCTGCCTTGGCAGAAAGCAATGACAGCCCCGCAGGAGAGTGCCAGGCTCAGGTGACATCAGAATATGGAGGCATGGGTCACCCTAGGGCTCCCCCTTGCACAGTGCCTGGGCTGAGGAGTGCAGGTGATGGCACCTGGAGAAGAGCTACTTTAAGGAGACGGTCCCTGAGCTTGCCAACCTGTGCCAACACTTCTTCCCAGGGGGTAAATCTTCCCTATCTCACTGGCATCATGGGCTCCGGTGCTTTTAAAGAGACCCTGCAGCTTCTGCTCCTGATGTGGATTTTCTTCCCTTCAGGTGAGTTCTTAATTCTAAAATATCCAGATTGCCTATCTCACTGAGCCCTTGCTCTAAGTTGTAGCTGTGGATTGTGCAATGCCACCCCCGGTGGAAATGGTTCTGCTGTAGCTGCTGGTCGGCTGGTTTTGGGGGAGGCTGGCAAGAAGTGCTGGGTTTTGTAGTTCACCACAGCTGCATAGGGGTATCTGGGACAGCTGGCATGTATTGCATTAGGGGGTTATAGGCTGTGGGGTTTGAGATAACCCTCAACTTGCAAACGTACTTCGGATCGGACTGCAATAAGCATACATTTGGATGTGAGACATTTAATGCTGGGACTTGTAGTTCCACTGAAGCGGGATTTGTAGGCAGGGTTGGCAGCTGTAGCACAGAGCTCTGTACAGACGTGGCTGGCAAGACTTGCTGGGATGTGAACAGTAGTTTGTGTTCATCTTGTCACTTTTAAATGGCACATCTTTAAATAGGTTAACGGGCTGATGGTTAGAGGTATTTCTGGGCAAGCTGGCACACATTTGGCTGGCCTCATAAGGGTACACGGGGCTGTTTTATTAAAACGTAATGTATAGCACTAGCTGCATGTTGGTGTTCAGAGTGACATCCCAAAATCCCTATATCCCCAATGCATTCTACAGGCAATATCCGCTAATATGACTGAGCGCAGACTTCTACGGGCAGAGGTTCAGAACCGCGGACAGCTCCATAACGGAGCTCAGGCTGTACTTTGTATGGAATTGGGGAGGAAGGGTGCTGATAGGGTCTTGTGCTGTGTATGGGATTGGGGTGGAAGGGTGCTGATAGGGCCATGTGCTGTGTATGGGATTGGGGTGGAAGGGTGCTGATAGGGTAATGTGCTGTGTATGGAATTGGGGTGGAAGGGTGCTGATAGGGTCATGTGCTGTGTATGGGATTGGGGTGGAAGGGTGCTGATAGGGTCCTGTGCTGTGTATGGGATTGGAATGGAAGGGTGCTGATGGGGTCCTCTGCTGTGTATGAGATTGGGGTGGAAGGTGCTGCTATAGGGTCCTGTGCTCTGTATGGGATTGGGGTGGAAGGGTGCTGGTAGGGTCCTGTGCTGTGTATGGGATTGGGGTGGAAGGGTGCTGATATATTCCTGTGCTGTGTATGGGATTGAGGTGGAGGGGTGCTGATAGGGTCCTGTGCTGTGTATAGGATTGGGGTGGAAGGGTATTGATAAGGTCCTCTGCTGTGTATGGGATAGGGGTGGAAGGTTGCTGATAGGGCCCTGTGCTGTGATAGTATGGGGTGTAATGTGGAAGACAATTTAGGAAGGGTGCTGATAGGGTCCTGTGCTGTAATAGTATGGGGTGTAATGGGAAGGCACCCTGTAAAATTTGGTAAGGGTGTTGCTATAGGGTCCTGTGATGTGTTAGTATGGGGTGTAATGGGGAAGACACCCTGGAAATTTAGGAAGGGTGCTGCTATAGGGTCTTGTACTGTGATAGTATGGGGGTGTAATGGGGAAGACAACTTATGAAGAGTGCTGCTGGCGTCTTGTGCTGTGATAGCATAGGATGTAATTGGGAAGACAACTTAGGGAGGGTGCTGATAGGGTTCTGTACTGTGATAGTATGGGGTTAGGGTGCTGCTATCGAAACCTGTACTGTTATACTAGGAACTATACACACAGCTAGTCTTGCAATGTAAAGTATGTGGTACTGTGTTGCCATAAATTCCTGTGCTGTGATAGCTTAGGGTATAATGGTGCAGGCTCACTGGTACTCGTGAAAAGTATGACGTGAAAGCGTTCTGCTATAGGGTCCTTTGCTGGTATGATATAGGGTATCATGAGATAAGAGACACTGGTATTCTTGGCATTTAAAGAATGCGGAAAGGTGCTGCTATAGGGTCCTACTATGACAGTAAGATATATAATTGGGCAGATAAACTCCTAAACTTGAGATGTATGGTGTGTGCTGGTGTAGGGTCTTTTGCTTTCGTGATATTGGGTATCCTGAGAAAAGATACACTGGTAGTCTTGCAATGTATAGCAAGTGGTAGGCTGTTGCACTCTGGGGTCTTGTACTGTGGTAATATCTTATTATGGGGAATAATGAGACAGAACACACT